ATTAAGCCTTCAAGGAAAGCCGTTTTAAAAAGCATTGGTTTAGCAGGCGTGGTGGTGCACGCCTTTAATCCCAGCACTTGGGAGGCAGAGGCAGGTGGATCTCTGTGAGTTCAAGGCTAGCCTGGCCTACATAGTGAGTTCCAGGCCAGCTGGGGCTACAGGGAGACCCTGCTTCAAAAAGACCAAAAACAAGAAAGAAAGAAAGAAAGAAAGAAAGAAAGAAAGAAAGAAAGAAAGAAAGAAAGAAAGAAAGAAAGAAAGAAAGAAAGAAAGAAAGAAAGAAAGAAAGAAGAAAGGATTGGCTTGCAAAACTTAAACAAATGAACAGTTCTGATCCAGTAAGTAATTTCTGCTAGTATCTATCTGTAAAAATAGATGTGAGGGACCAAACGCTGGATAACCCTGGAAAGAAGATGGTCTCGCTAGGAGGTGGCCTGACAAAGCACTGTGACTAGATGGCTCAGACCTCTGGGAGAGAACCTCAAAACAGCTTCTCCAACATCAGACTTGCTCAATTCATTCCATACTCAACTCTTGCATTTCCTAGACACAAATGAAGAAAACTTGGCTGGAGGCATAGTTAGGTGGTAAAACACTTGTCTAGCAGGCATGAATCCCTTGGCTCCATCCCAGCACCAAAACAAATCAACAAACAGCAACCATTATCTTGCAGTCCTCTGTGTGCATATGTATGTATGTATCACCTGTGTGAGTGTGGAGGCCAGAGGTCAACATAAAGTGTCTTTCTCAATCACTCTATAATGACAATGATGATGAGGAGGAGGATTATTTTGAGATAGGGTCTTACTATGTAGCCCTGGCTAGTCTGGAACTCAGCTATGTAGACCAGGCTGGCCTTGAACTCACAGGCATTTGTCTGCCTCTGCCTCCCAGGAGCTGGTATTAAAGGTGTGTGCCACCAAGTCCAGCCTATCTTACTTTTTGGGACAGGGTCCTACCTGGCCTGGAGCTCAGGCTAGGCTACCCAGCCATTGAGCCCCAGGGATCTCCTGTCTCCCTCTCTCTAGTCCTGGGATAATAAGCATTCATCACCAGGCCAGGATTTTCTTTTTCTTTTTTTGGTCTTTTTTTTTGAGACAGAGTCTCTTTTTGAGACTCAAAAAGACATATGCCTTTTCCTCTCTTTAGTGACGCCACAAAGTATTTTTAAGATTATATTAAGTGGGGCTGTTTAATTGGCTCAGTGGTTAAGAATACTGACTATTCTTACAGAAGACCCAGGTTCGAATCCCAGCACCTACATGACAGCTAACACTTGTCCGTAACTCCAATTCCAGGGGATCTGATGCCCTCGTCTGACCTCCAAGGTCATTTTATTATTTTTATGTGTATGCGTGTTATGCCTGCATGTAGGTAAGTGCGCCCATGTCATGCAATGGCCACGGATCCCCTGGAACTAGAGTTATGGTGGACAGTTGTTAGCCATCATGTGGGTGCTGGGATTCAAACAGGGTCTTATGCAAGAACAGCCAGTGTTCTTAACCACTGAGCCATCTCTCCAGCCCCCAGACCAGGATTTTCTTTATGTAGGTTCTAAGGATTGAACTCGGGTCTTCATTTTGCGCAACAAGCATTTTACTGACTGATATCTCCTCGGCCACCTGGCCCCCAAACTGTTTTTCTTGAGGTGCTTTACCCATAATATCAAGAGTCAGGTTGGGGTGCTGCTTAGGAGTTAGGGCACTTGCCTAGAATGTGTGAGGTCCTAAATTCCATCGCCAGTACTAAGGGGAGTGTCAGCACCCCAACCCCAGGACAATAGGCCTTGTTTCTTCTAGATTTCTCTTGACACTTTGCACAGGAGGGACTCCCAAGATTCCCTGAGCTTTCACCTCAATGTAGCAGAGAATCAGATGTTTGATGTTTGGGCCCTGCCTCCTCAGGCAGGACGTCTGAGTGGGGAGATCAAAGGCCCCCCCTGCTGCTAAGCTACCACAGGCCTGTGCCCAGCGGCTCTGCAGGAAGCAAGCCTTCCACCTTCCTGCTCAGAGAACAGTAGCAATTTAGTCATTTTGACCTGGTCCTGCAGCCTCACCTAAAAGTGAACAGGAAGGGCTCTAAGGGGTCTCACAGCTAGGGCCCACCTCACCCATGCTCACTCTGGACTCCCCAAAACCCATCCATGACTGCAGCTCAGCTGTACAGAGGCAACAGCTTCAACAGCTACCATAGAGGGATCCATGCAGAACTGGCATCTCTGATCAGCAAGATCCCACACAAATCAACACCCATCTATGTACTTTATTATTATTATTATTTTGGGTCTTTTTGAGACGGTTTCCCTGTAGCCCCAGCCAGCCTGGAACTTGCTATGTAGACCAAGCTGGCCTTGATTTCACAGAGATCCACTTGCCTCTGCCTCCCAAGTGCTGGGACTAAAGGTGTGCGCTACCACGCCTGGCTTATTCTATTTTTTTAAAATGTGTGTGAGTGTATTGCCTGCACGTATGTAAGTGCACCTGTGTCATGTGATGCCTTCGGAGATCAGAAAAGGGCATCAGATCCCCTGGAACTGGAGTTACAGATGGTTGTTAGCTGCTGTGTAGGTGCTGGGAATTGAACCTTGGTCCTCTGCAAGAGCCACCAGTGCTCTTCACTGCTGAGCCATCTCTCCAGCCCCCTGATTTTTTTTTAAACTATATGTAACAATTACGTTGTCAAAGCTTAATTTTATATACACATTATACATGTGTGTATAAGAATGTATACACAGGGAAGAGGGAGATGGTTCAGCACCCATGTTTGACAGAGTGACACTGGACATCCTCCTCTGGCATGTTGTGTGTGCATGTGTGTGTGTGTGTGTGTGTGTGTGTGCATATGACAAAGCACACATGAAACACACACATATACAAGCACGTGCACCAATACACATACTGTGGTTGTTATTATTATTTCAAAGCTGGGGATAAAACCCAGGACCTTGAAAATACTAGAAAGTACTCTCTGTTGAACTGTACCCTATGACCCTGTTTGAAGTTGAATGGAAAGTCCCCAAGCCTAGTTTCCACAGGAGAAGCTTAAGGTAACATGACCCAGAGGAACATTCTGGCACCATCCTCAGTGCAGGGAGAGACCTTTGAGGGGTGACAGCACTGGGCCAGCCTTATAGGAAACAGCACCATTATTGATTTTGACAAGAAAGCCACCATCCTCCTCCTATGCTGCATACATGCAAATCTGACTCAGGGGAACTCAAAAACTTCCAGAAGAATCCTTCCCAGCGCCAGTCCCCCATGGTTTTGTACTACAACTTTAAGTGGCTGAAACACTAGCCCTCCTGAATCTGAGAAGTATTTCTTTACTCTGTTTAGCTGGTGTCAAGGAGCTTGGGCAGGTCACAGAGAGGCTCTGGTCTGGCAGCAATCAGCAGCATCCCAGATGTTGAACACGCCCCCACCCCCCACCCCCACCCCACCTACGCACCAACAGAGACTGGGAAACACAAGCTTAGGCAGCCACCTAGGGGCAGTCCCTTTCAGCTAAGCTTTTCTGGATCAAGTCAAAGTCACGACTCTGACTTAGGAGAACCGCCTGGGAGTGGTGTGGGGTATGGGGGTTATCCCTCCATCAACTCCAGAGATGAACATAAACAATCAACAATAAACCAGAGAGGGGCACGGAGGAAGGTCAGGGGTACAGGCAAAGCATGCAGCAGCATTCCCCAGCTTTAGATTCATGGCTGGTAAAATGGGGATCACTCTGAATATCTAGCTGATGGGATTTTTCTAAGGCCCAGAAAAATCTTGAGATCTTTCTAAGGTCCAGTCCTAATATTATTTGTTCATTTGCTGGACGTTTTTTTGAAGACAGGATCTTATGTAGCCCAGGCTGGACTGGAACTATCTATGTAACTGAGACTAGCCTTGAAATACTGATCCCCCTGCCTCAGTGTGCCAAGTACTGGGAAGGATAGGCATGTGCCACCACATCTGGCTGTGTCAAGCACTCTTTAAAAAATTTCTAATTACATTTATGAAATGGGGGGGGGCTGGTGTGGGCACAAGTGCCCAAGCATGCCACAGTGTCAGTGCAAATGTGGAGGTCAGAGGGTAACTTTTGGGAGTCAGTTCTCTTCTTCCACCATGAGGATCATGGGGATGGAACTCAGGTGTTTAGTTTTAGCAGCAAGCCCCTTTACCTACTCAGTCATATCAACAGCCCTCAAGCACTATTTACAGTTCAAGGCCAGCCTGAGCTACAGAACAAAACACTGCCTCCAAAAAATATTTCAATGAATAAATACAATAAAATGATAAAGTAGAAATAAAGAAGGGCTGTTAAAACTACAAAACAGCTAGGCATGGTGGCACTGCCTTTAATCCCAGCACTCAGGAGGCAGAGGCAGGTGGATCTCTGTGAGTTTGAGGCCAGCCTGGTCTACATATCGAGTTCCAGGCCAGTTAGGGCTACAGAGAGACCCTGTCTCAAATAATCCCACAACCAAACAACAATAAAAACAAGGGAATTTTTTTTTTTTTAAATTAACTACAAGAGAAATGTTGGGCGGTGTTTGCAGGGATGGTTGAGTGATGGGGATGGGGAGGGACGGACACACAGGTGCACATGTGGGAAGCACAAGGTGGCCGCAGCCGGCTGGCACCTGGGGCTTCCACTCAGGTTCCGAGGGAGGGCCACAGAGTGGTGCTGAGGAAATTCGATGCGGGGACTCGGCGGGCAAGGGTCACAGGTGGGGGTGTGGGGTCGGTCACCCCGGCCTCCGCGGGGTTACGGCGAGGCCACGGTACCAGCCGTGGGGTTGTCACCCGCAGGATAGCTCTGTGTGAGGTCGAAGCTCGGCCTGGCCGTGAGGTCCCGGGGACCCGCTACACAGTGTGTGTTGGGGGTGGTCTGTCACCTCTACGCGCCCGTGACGCTGCTGTCACAACAACATCGGCCCGCGCCGCGCTTCCTCCCAGCCCGGCCAGAGCGGTCCCCCGCCGCCCCGCGTCGCCCTGCGCCCTTCGGGTCGCGCTCACCTGCCCGAACGCGTTGCCGCCGCCGCCACAGCCGCCTCAGCCGCCGCAGCCACCGCAGCCCCGCCTCACACTCCCCCAGCGCGCGCCTCGGGCGGGGCCCAGGCCGCGCCGCCATTGGCCACACACTGACCAATCAGGGCCAGATACAGCGAGAATTGGTACGCACGAAGCGGACGGACATTCCTTCTGACCAATAGCTGGTTAGGAGGGGCGGGGGAGGTGGTGCCTCTGGTCCTCCAGAGTGTTCCCTCAGTGCAAGGCCGGGAAGGTGGTAGTGGCGGGCAGGCGCAAAGGTGCGAAATGATTGGAGCCAGCAGGAAACGGGCAGCATTCTTGACCAATCGCTAAAGGGACTAGGTGGGGCTTCGTGAAGAGGCGGCTCTGGGTACCCCAAGTGTTTACCCAGGTCTAGGGAGGAAAGAAGAGGAGAAGCGCGAAGATTGGAGTCCGGCAGAAAACGGGCAGCGCTCCGACCAATCGCTGAAGGTTGGAGGAGGGGTTACATGGAGTAGCGACCCTAGTTCTCCAGAGCGTTCCTTTGGGTGTGAGGCCTGGAGGCAGGGTCTGAAGGTGCGTGAGGATTGGATCCCCGCAGAAAATGGGCAGCGCTCTCGGACAAATCGCTGGAGGGCAAAGGCGGGACTCCGAGCAAGCTAGCGCGCTGGGCGGAGCTGAGGCTCCAGAAGCAGAGGGAGTAGCCTGGAGGGAGACGATGATTGGCCTTGAAACTGAAGACGGACAGATCCACTAGCCAATCGCAACCGCCGTAGGTGGTGCATCCTCCAGACTGGCCTGGGGCGTGCTAAGTGCAAGTCCACAGCAGTGCGTCCAAGGGGGTTGGCCTTGGACACTCCGCTGTGGCTTCACCGACTCCCACTCAGCGCGGAAGCGTCCTACTTCGTCCTGAACTTGGACCTTAACAGTTGAAGGACTCTTGGTTAATTCTCAGCCTGTCCCTCTCCCACTGCTCCCCCGCAGATGAGCAGAAACTCCAGGTCACTCAGCCGCCGCCTGCAGCTTGAGCTCTTGTGCAAACGTGGAAATCAGAGCTGGAATCGCTCAGACCAGCTGACTGATTTTCTGAAAACGATGTCTTTGGGTCCAAGCTTTATCCTTCAAGGGATCCCATGACAATTCTGTGGGACCTCCGCCCTGCTAAGTCTTTGGTGAAACAACTGAGCCCAACCACAATCTCTAGGATCAGAGTACTTTCCCAAGAACCCAAACCAGAACACAGAGGTCAAACTCTCTTTGTTCTGACGAGCTCAGTTTGATCCCTTGGACTCACATGGTGGAGACAGAACTCCTGGAAGTTGTCATCTGACTTTATACATACCCCCCCCCGCCCCCTCGCCACACACACACACGCATAAACAAATAGTTGGAGGTGTGGCTCAACGGTAGAGACATCAGGGGCTTTGCGATCCATCTCTGGCACCCCATCCCTAAGAAAGAAAGCAATCATTTTTTCTTTCATTTAAATTTTATTTTTTTGGCGGGGCATGGTGGTGCATGCTTTTAATCCCAGCACTTGGGAGGCAGAGGCAAGCAGAGGTAGGCGGATCTCTGTGAGTTCAAGGCCAGCCTGGTCTACATAGTGAGTTCCAGGTCAGCTGGGGCTACAGGGAGACCCTGTCTCAAAAAGACCAAAACAATTTTTTTTTGTCTTCTTGAGACAGGGTCTCCCTGTAGTCCCAGCTGACCTGAACTCACTATGTAGACCAGGCTGGCCTTGAATTCACAACAATCCGTCTGCCTCTGCCTCCCAAGTGCTGGGATTAAAGGCATGCACCACCGCACCCGGCTCAAAACAAAATTTAAAAATTTATTTGTATCTTACTGTACAAGTGTTTTGTCTGCATGCATGTTGGTGCACCATACATGTACATATATGCAATATCCACAGAGATCAGAGGAGGGTGTCAGATCCCCTGGACCTGGAATTATAGTTGTTAGCTACCATATGGGTTCTGGGAACCAAACTCAGGACCTCGGCAAAAGAAGCCAGTGCTCTTTGTTTCTTTTGTTTTTTTTTTTTTTGAGATGGGATCTCTCTAGTCCCAGCTGGCCTCGAACACCCTATGTAGACCAGGCTGGCCATGATCTCAGAGATCAGCCTGCCTCTGCCTCCCAATTGCTGGGATTAAAGGCATGTGCCACTATACCTGGCTGGCTGTCTCTGCCATCTTCTGCTCTTAACAACTGAGCCATCTCTACAGCCCCAGTCCCCAAATTCTTTTTTCTTGGGGTCACCTGGTAGATGTGTTTGATCCTCACCAGATCCTGTCTGGTCTCTGAGGCCCAGCTTGTCTATGAAGTAGGGGGTGCCACAGTGTGGCTTTCCACAGTTGAGAGACACTGGCCAGCCTATGCTCCTTGTCTCCAAGATTGATCCCAGGCCTACTCTGTTCCCTGACTCCTATTAAGGAAGATTACTTCAGGGTAGGGAGAGGTCAGACATGGGCTTAAATTTATTTCATATAGGTTCAGGCTAGGGCCTGTGGAAATCAGTCAGCAACAGAATATCTTGGGAGGAAGCAAGGCTAAACTTAGCCAGGACTCAATTTCAGGGCTGTATAGTGCCCCCCACCAGGACCTTCATTCTCAAAGTTCAAATGAGGAAGCTCACACTTCAGAAGCCACTATCTTGAGGCCACCATGGGACTCCCTACAGAGCCACTATAACCGTCCTGGCATGAGGAATAAAGATATTCTAAATTGACACTAGTGCTTATCAGAATATTGAAACAATGACCCCCAAGAACTTGGAATTTCCGCACAGATCTCATGCTGGTAGAAGGAAGAGACTGAAGCAGTGGCAGTCGCCACAGGAGAAGCTTATCTCTGGTAAAGATTTCACAGAAGACAGTTTGCCAGACCACCTTTTAGGGGTGCAGAGACAGTGACTAGTCTGTGATGGGCAGGACCACTCCTCATCACTAAGCCTGGTGACCTGAATTCAGTCCCCAACACCCATGTAGTGGAAGGAGAGAACTGACATCCAAAAGTTGTCCTCTGACCTCAATAGTAAGCCGAGGCATGCCCCAAGATTTCTCAGAGGCACACACACAGAGACACACAGGAAATAAGTTGACTAACTTAAAAATTAAACCTGGGGGTAGAGAGATGGCTCAGTGGTTAAGAGCACTGGCTGCTCTTGCAGAAGACCTAGGTTTGGTTCCCAGCATCCATATGGTAGCTAACAGCCACCCTTAACTCCAGTTCTGGATCCAGTGCCCTCTTCTGGCCTCCACTGGCACTGCACACGTGTGGTACACACGTGGTGGAAAAAACACTCATCACATAAAATGTTTTTAAAAATTAAAAAAAAAAAGCTGGGCGTGGTGGCACACGCCTTTAATCCCAGCACTCAGGAGGCAGAGGCAGGCGGATCTCTGTGAGTTCAAGGCCAGCCTGGTCTACATAGTGAGTTCCAGGGCAGCTGGGGCTACAGGAAGACCCTGTCTCAAAAAAAAAAATTAAAAAAAAAATGAAATCTCGATCTTTTGTCAAGACTTTCAAGTCTCTGAAAATGTCTTAGGGTCAACTAACTAGACCTCCTTTCTTTTTTTTTTTTTTTCCAAGAAGGTTTACTATGTATCCATGGCAGGCCTGGAATTCCCTATGTAGACACCAAGCTGGTCTATAATTCATAGGGATTCTCCTGCCTCTGTCTCCTGGGTGCTGGAATTGAAGGTGTGTGCCACCACACCCCACGGCCTGTTTTGTTTTGGGGTCTCATGTAGCCCGCACTGGATTCAAATTTGTTATGTACTTGAACTGGAGACCCTCCTGCTTCTTCCACTACACCTGGTTTTATGAGGTGCTGTGATCAAACCCAGGGCCTCGTGCATGCTAGGTGAGCACTGCTACAAACTTAGCACTAGTCCAAGCACCTGCTTATGTGTTTAACTGATTTATTGAATTGATTATTGAACAGGGAGGTGGCCAACCCTGGCTTGCTAGGGCCGCCAGGGCCCAAGTTTTGACCCTAAGAACTTCAGTAACTACAGGAATTGATGGCCAAGTGAAGAGAAAGACATCACCATCCAGAGAGCTCCAGCCTCTGCACCAGCCTACCAGACTTTGGGAGGAAGGGAAACTCCTGGAAGACCTCGTGGCTCCCTTTGGGACAGTGCCAAGTGAGGCAAGGGTCAGGCAGTGGTCCAGGGCTGGGCTGCCTCTGCTGGTGGTGCCAGAGATGCTGGCTGGGCCTGCAACTGGCAGCAGTGACAGCAGCTGATGGCCCACTGTGGGCGCCGCAGTAGAGCCTAGCACTGAGCTGGGATCCCAGCAGCTGTCTGCTTGGCCTCACTGAGACAGTGCTTGTGCTTCTCCATCTGAATTAAGAGATCCAGGGGGCTCATCACAAGCCTACTGTGGGTCAAGACCCAGGGTCAACTAAAGCCAGGAGAACGTGTGCCCAAAGTTAGGAAAGACAAGGTTGGCAGAAGAGGAGGGTTGTGCAGGGTGGTGAGCTGGGATCCTGGTCTATTTCTTATCTGGAAAGTAGGACTCGGCCCCAGCTTCTTAGAAATGGGTCCACAATGAAAAGGCAGTAAAAGCCAGAACAGTGGTGCAGGCTTGAGATCCCAGCACTCAGAAGGTAGAGGCAGGTGGATCCCTGGGAGTTCAAGGCCAATCTGGTCTTTATAAAGTGAGTTCCAGGCCAGCTAGGACTACAGAGTGAGACCCTGTCTCAATAAATAATAAATACTACAAAAAATTGAAAACACTATTCTATCCCCTGGACCCTGTGCCCTCCTGGCTGGAGGCATGCTGAACATAGCCATAGTGGATGCAAATGCAGTCTGAGATACAGGCAGTCAGCCAACTCAGAGAAGTCAGTCCACTCATCCAAGGATGGACAGCGCAGGAAACCAACCTGGACACACTCACACTGGATATGCTCACACCAACTCTTGCAGTACCTTTCCCCTCAGCCCACGTCTCCATGTTGTTAACAAGGGCAGCAAGTAGAAGGGGACATACCTCAGGGGAGGGGCACGTTGTCTGGAGCAGCCTCTGAGCTAGGCCTTGAAGGGGTACCTGTGTGAGGCTGGGGTAGAGGAGGCGACATGCTGAGACAGCCGGGGTCTGGTGGGTGAGAGGATGGGAACCTAGTGCAGTGAAATGGGAGGGGGCTCTTCAGCCCCGAGAAGACTCCACTGGGTTCAGCCACTCAGCCCAGGTCATCAGATCCCAGTGGGCAGGGCTAATAAGGCAGAGCCACCTTGGATGTAAGGATGCTCTAGGCTCTCACATCTGCTTTCCACCTCAGTGCTGTGAGTTTATTCAGGTGAAGTTCAAAGACACAGGAAGTTGGAGGTCCCTGGGGGTGGGGGACAAACCGAAGCTGCCCACAGGGAGTATAGATGGACAGATAAACCGGATGAAGACTCAGCATGGTGATCTCACAAAGATGGACGATGGAGCATATAGGGAGATATGAACTGATGACATAGTCTTATGGTTGCACCACCCTCAAAGCACTGAGCTCTTAACAGGAGGTATCTCATCTGAAAACTCCACTTAGGGGCTAAAACCTAGTGCACTGTGCAGCCAGCCAGCCAGAGGAAGGGCACAGTGATGTTACTCCAGGCAGATGGTATAGTTTCGGCAAAGATCCTGGGCTCAGGGCTGGGGAGGAAGCTCAGTTGGTAGAGTGCTTATAGCCTAGTGGGTAAAGTATTTGTAGCTCAGCATGTACCCAGCATGCACAAAGTCTTGAGTTCTATCCCTAGCACCTGGTAAAATCAGGCAGGGTGATACACACCCGTAATCCAAGCTCTTAAGAGGTGGAGGCGGGAGTATCAGGTCATCAACTACATAGTGAGTTGGAGGATAGCCTGGGCTAGATGAGACCTTGTGTCAAAACAAAACAAAACAAAAAATAACAACAAAAAGAAACAGACCTTGGGGTGGGAAGGCCAGAGTGGCTGGACAAAAAGCAAAAAGCTATAGGGAAGACTGAGGTAGGATGTGTGAGGTGTGGTGTCTGTGAGGTGTTAAATGCAGCCTGGTTTTTTTAATGAAACCAAAGGGAAGCCAGGGGCTGGCAGGGAATATGACGGGGGGTGTGTGTGTGTGTGTGCGTGTGAATCACAGGGTCACCCCTGAAGGTGTCTTGTCAACTGTACCAGAAGTACTCATCCCTGAGACACAGGAACAGGGTCTGAGGCCTGCCCAAGGCCACACACACACACACACACACACACACACACACACACACACACACGGCTGACCCAGTTGCCAAGTCTGAACCAGGAGACCCTTCACCTACATCCTAGTCCCCAGAGTATGGAGCAGGGTGGGGTAACCCAGTCCAAAGTTCATGTCTGCCCCTGAGCCAGCAGGGCCCTTCCCTGTCTGATGGGGGAGAATCAGCCATCTGAGAAGCTGAGCTAGGGTTAAAGCCCCACCAGCCAGCAACAATGGCTAGTTTCCACAGAAACCAAGAGCCTTCTGGGAAAGGCACACTGAGGTTGATGGCTGTGGAAGGGGGAAGGGACGTCTAGGAAGTGCAGGCTGGAGGTCCCTGAGGCCACTCTAAACTCTTGTACTCCTGCTGCCTGGAGATCTGCAGAATGCTGGGAAGGTGACACTGGTGACTGTGTTACATGTGAGGAAACTGAGGCTCAAAGAGAAATGGGCTGCCTGAGACACCAAGGGGAAAAGGACAGGGTGAAACAGGTGGGGTCAGCCTTCCTGGGGTGACCGAGGTGTTGGAGCCTCAATGCCTGGAGACGGAACCCTACTCCTCACACCCTTCTGATGTCCAGGATCAGAGTGAGGCTACTCAAGGCCACAGCTGAGCTGAGACCAGATGCTGAGCAGTGTTTTCTGCCCCCAAGCATGGATGGTGACCTGACCCCAGGCTCAGCTGCCTGTAAATCCCAGGCTGCCCCACTCAGCTGTCCACAGCACCCTCTGATGTCCCTTGTCCCCTACTCTCAGAAGCCACAGCCACAGGCCCCAGGCTCAGCAGGGCTCTGAAGAGACCACTCTAGCCTGCATCAACAGGCTTTAATGCTAGGTACGAGGGGTGGTGTGCTCTGCCAGATGCCACAATCCCTGCCTCTGCCAGCCATACCAAGGGCTCTAGACATCCTCTACAGGTAAGAAAAGTGAACAGATTTCTGTTTTTGAAAATGGGAATCCTCATTTAAAAAAAAACAAACCCTGGAGCTGGAGAGATGGCTCAGCAGTTAAGAACACTGGTTGTTCTTGCAGAAGACCCAAGTTTGAATCCCAGCGCCCACATAGCAGCTAACAACTGACCGTAACTCCAGTTCTAGGGGATCCAACAGCCTCTTCTGTCCTCCTTGGGCACTGCACGACACAGGTGCGTAAACTTACCTATACACACAATACACACATACACATAAAATAAAATAAATAAAAAATATTAAAAAAAAACTAAAACCATAAAGCAATTCTTGCTCTGTAAACAAGTCTGTTTGGGACTGCCATAAACCCTAAACCATAAAGTGATTTCTGCTCTGCAAACAGGCCCAGCTCTACAAACTAGTTCTTCTAAGCCCCAAGAAAAAAGTAGACCTAAATCCTTTACAAACGTCCCTACCCAACTCCCATGACTATTTACATACACAAAAGTACTTTAGCTCCCCTGCTGTTTGCCCAGTGTGGCTACTGAAGGCTCCGTCATTACCTTTATTTTATTTGTTCGTTTGTTTATTCTGAGGGCTTGTACCATAGCAAGCACGCATGTGGTGGTCAGAGGGCAACTCTCAGGAGTCAGTTCTCTCCTTCCACCCTGTGGATCCTGGAGATCGAACTTACAGGTTCGGTGGCAAGCACCTTTACCTGCTGAGTCATCTCAGCAGCCCGAGGAGAAGAGTTCTGAATAGACTGTGGAGCAGGACCCTGGATTCTGGCCCAATGGCTGGCCCTGCCGTAGTAGTACGGGTTGAAGTGGCCCCTAACTCCAGACAGGATGCTGCAGCTCCTATGCCCTTTGCCCCAGGAACTGCTGAGAAGGGCTATTGGTAGGAAAGGGCTTGGGGGGTGGGGGTGGCTGTCACCATTGCCTGTGGGGACATGGGCCCCAAGGGCTGTGTCTACCTTCCCCACCACTGACCTGCCTGAAAACACCTCTGACTGTGGGTGACATGGATGGGGGACATAGAGGCAGGGCAGAGCTCCCCATATTCCCGAGCTGTGGCTCACTGATGTGGAATTACTGTGCCAGGTCACCTTTCTGGCCTGTCCACAGTTCTTGTAGTTCCACACGGCAGCCTAGGTCTCGCAGTGCAGCCTTGGCCACATCCTCGCAGTCCAGGTGGGAAGCTCGGGCCTGTGCGATGAGCTCCTCAGCCCCCAAGTCCAGGATAGGCTTGGAAAAGGCCTGGCTACGGGACACCAGGTTGCGGATCAGCATGCAGGCCTGTTTCTGGAAGAGAGAGTGGCAGTGAGCTGGGGGAAAGGCCTGGGCTGAGGGGACACTGACCTCAGGGTCCTCCTCATTACATGATGAGCTATGATGACCAGGGCTGCTACACTGGGCTGGGCTAGACCCATGTACCCATATGACCTTCTTAGTTCTCCAGGACTACTTCCCAAATTGAGGTGAGACGGGCTCAGGACATTATCAGAAATGGACACTACAAGCATGGGATGCTTGGTCTCAGTGGATAAAGGGTACTACCCAAAGTCCCCTGAGGCTAGCCCAGAGTCAGGGCAATGGACCCTGGGGACAAGGGACAGTGAGGCCATGGGAAGAGGGGGTACCAAGGTTCATTCCCAGTGAGTCACCTATCTGGGTTGGTTTGAGAGGGACCCCTCTCAAACTTTAACATCTCTGATGCTCAAGTTCCTGCTAAGTCACAACTGTGTCTGTATCCCACCCCAGGCCCTACTCATGGCTAGATCATGCAGGCATGCTGTGCACTGGTGGGGCTATTTAAGGAGTGACAGCTGGGCATGGTGGCACAAGCCTATGATCCCAGTTTGAGAGGCTGAGGAAGGATGCTGAGTTCCATGCCAGTGTGAACTACAGAGCTAGAGCCTGACTCAAAATAAATAAGTAAATAAATAAAATAAAAAAGAGGGGCTGGTGCTGAGTTGGCAGAGCACTTGTCTAGCAGGCTGGAGGCCCTGGGCTCCCTCCCCAGAACCTCATGACCCTGTGGCTCAAACCTGTTATCCCAGCACTCTGGAGGTGGAGGCAGAAAGACCAAAAGTTCAAGGTCATCTTCAGCTACATAACAAATCTGAGGCCAGCCTGGGCTTCATGAGACCCTGTCTCAAAAAGAAAGAGCTGTGCAGGATGGCACACATCTTTAATCCTAAAACTTGGGAGGCAGAAGCAAGTAGATCTTTGTGAGTTCAAGGCCAACTTGGTTTACATAGTGGGTTCCAAGCCAGCCAGGGTTACATAATGAAACTCTGCCTTAAAAAACAGCTCCCCACCCAAAAGAACAGAGCTAATGGAAACCATTACTCCACCAAAGTTGACCCTATGTTTGCAAATCTTTGGTCTTTGATTTCTTATTTCTATCCCCCCCACCTTAAACTTCATTGTATATGTATTTTTATGTAACCTACTTCATTTATTTCTGGAAAAATTGCCTCTCAAACCGGGCGTGGTGGTGCACACCTTTAATCTCAGCACTCGGGAGGCAGAGGCAGGCAGATCTCCGTGAGTTCAAGGCCAGCCTGGTCTACATAGTGAGTTCCAGAACAGCTGGAGCTACAGGGAGATCCTGTCTAAAAGAGACCGAAAAAAAAAAAAAAAAAAAAAAAAAAAGCCTAAAAGCCTGTCTTTGGAATAAAAATAAATAAATTTAAAAACACAAAAACATACATACACATTAAAAAAAAACAACAACTAGGGAAAGAAAAAAAGGAGATTAATGCAGAAAAATCCAGGAACTAGGAAAGGAAACAAGGAAACATCCCTGGGCAGAGTTCACTGTCTGCCTGTGTTTGTGTGCATGGATGTGTGTGTGTGTGTGTGTGTGTGTGAGAGAGAGAGAGAGAGAGAGAGAGAGGGAGAGAGAGAGAGACAGAGACAGAGACAGAGACAGACAGAGACAGACAGAGACAGTGCCTATCTGAGACAGGGTCTCTCAAGTTGCCCAGGCTGGCCTGGACCTCAGTGTAGCCCAGGCTGGTCTGGAATTGTAGCAATCCTGCCTCAATCTCCTGAGTGTTAGGACCATCAGACTGGGCACCCACCTCAACATGCTTAGACAACAAAGAAAGGGGCCCTGTGGATTCAGGTTCTGGTAGGACAAGGATGGGATGAGGATGACAGGGATGGTCATTCTCGCACCTGGACGCCAGCCTCCTGTGGATGAGCCTTCATGGCCTGCAGTGCAGCCAGGGCCCCGCCGCCCTCCACAATGACACGGCTGTTCTTTGGCTTTCGCAGGGCCAGGACACAGAGCGCTGCACAGCTGTGCTCACACACCTGTGAGGGTACAGAGGGAGTCTGAGGCAGACAGACAGATGGCCAGATTCCTCCCCTCTGTCAGCCACCTGGCTACCCTGGCCTGGGCACTCTGTGCATCCTCTCAGTGGGTCTCTGCTGGCCAGCAGCCATCCCCATAGATCTGGCCATTGGCCCACTCATGTGCCCAAGGGGGTACCTGGGGGCTGGCCAGGTGCTGGGTCATGGTAGCCACAATGGAGTCAGTGCCACCAGCTCGGACAATAGCATCCTTCACGTCATCGTTGCCTGCAATGGCCCTCAGGGCACTGAGCACTTGCTTCACGAGGTCCTGAAAAGACAAGGCCTGGTCACTTCCAGCCCAGGAGCTGGCTGGGTGGCAGGAGGGGGTGTTGAGGAGAACCCTGGGGCTGTTTTTGGTTTGAACCCATGTGGCTGCCCCCACGGTCCCAGGCCAGCAGGTGCAGATTCTGAGACCACACTGCCTGTGTTCAGGCTGGTATCTGGTGAGTGACCTGCCTGACCCACCCTCATAGGGACAGATGGTTCATGAGACGTGACTCAGGAAGAGCACTGAGCAACCTAAGCTGAGCATAGACAGGAGCCCTTTCCAACTGACCACTTTTGAGACAAAGCTGGGGGGACCTAAGCCCTCACTCTGTCTGCCAAGCAAAAATACCTTTACTCCTAGGCTCCTTTGCTCTTGTCACCTGTACAGAAAGAGCCTAGCTGACATCGCCAATTGGGCTCAGGCTGGTGAGACTACTGCCACCATGAGCCAGGTGCCTGCAAGCTTTTGTGGGGCCCTCACCTGGGCAGGTGTAAGTTATACTCCCTGCTTTGGGCTGGGCCATGGGAGGGGTTAAAAAAAAAAAAACAACAACAAAAAACAGCTGCTGGGGCTTGAGAGGTGGCTCAGTGGTTAAGAGCACTGGCTGCTCTTGCAGAGGACCTGGGTTTGGTTCCCAGCACCCACATGGTGGCTAACTATCTGTAATTCCAGTTCAGGAGGATTCAACACCCTCTTCTCTCCTCAGGCACTGCATGGCACCAGTGTAATTTACAAACATGCAGGCTGTACATATAAAATAAAAAAATAAAATGAAAATTACACCAAAAAAAGGATAGCTGCTAAGTAGAGTGAAGGGGAAGGAACTTGGCCTTGTTCTACAGATGGAGAAACTGAGGCAGAGAGGCAAGGGACCTCATTAGTGGGGGGGGGGTCTGCCCCACATTCCCAGCATTCTATCTCACCCCTCCTGTTCCTTCTAGAAAACACACAAGTAGGAATAGGGTTAAGAGGGCAGAATGCTTAGCTAGCATGCATGAGGCTCTGGGTTCTTTCCTAGCACAGCACAAAGCAGGTGGTACATACCTATCATCTCAGTTCAAGGTCATCCTTACCTACCTAGCAAATTCAAGGTCAGTTACATGGGATACTGGGTTTTTGTTTTGTTTTGTTTTGTTTTGAGACAGGGTCTCCCTGTAGCCCCAGCTGGCCTGGAACTTGCTATGTAGACCAGGCTGGCTTTGAACTCACAGAGATCCATCTGCTTCTGTTTCCACAGTGCTGGGATTAAAGGCATGTGCTACCACACCTGGTGAGTTGCTGTTTCAAACACACACAGTGCATACTGCTCTTGTAGAGGAACCAAGTTCAGTTCACAGCACCCATGTTAGACAGTTCACAATCACCTATAATTCCAGCTCCAGAACTGACCCCTTCTTCTGGCCACTGAACTCATGTGACAAACCAATATTCACACACTCATATATAAATATCACTTTAAAAAAGAAAAATCTGGGAGCTGGAGAGATAGCTCAGTGGTTATGAACACTGGCTACTCTTCCAAATGACATTGGTTCTATTCCTACCACCCTCAAAGAAGCTACAACTGTCCTTAACTACAGTTCTAGAAGCCTCTGTGGACACTGCACACACAGGTGCACTTATATATGTAAGCAAAACAGTAGTACACATAAAAAATCTATTAAATTAATTTTAAAAAATCTGGGGCTAGAGAAATGGCTCAGCAGTTAAGAGCACTGGCTGCTCTTGCAGAGGACCCAGGTTTGGTTCCCAGCACCCACATGGTGGCTAACAACTGCCTGTTAGTCCACTGTTACTCCAGTTCCAGGGGATCTGAGGCCCTCTTCTGACTTCCAGGTGCATTGTAAGACACAGGTGCACTTACATACATGTGGGCAAAACACTCATATACATAAAACAAAATCAAAAAACTTTTTAAAATGAAAAATCTTCAAACACACGTGTGTGATTAAGTATGGTGGCTCATGCTTGTTCTGGTACTCGGCTCTTTCAAGAAGATTGCAAGATTGAGGTCAGCCTGGAGAGAAACCTGGTCTCAAAATACAGTACAAAGGGCTAGGGTGTGGCTCAGTGGCAGAGAGCTCACACACAGGGGACAGTTTGACATCCAGTGCAGGAAAACAAGGAAGGAAGGAAGGGCTGTGAGGGTGTGGGGATCACTTATGCTCCCAAACTCTCACACCTGTCCTTCCTTCAGTGAGGAGGTTGGTCTGGCCAGGAGCCCGGAGAAGGAAGAAGGACTCTGGGCCCCACCTGATGGTCATTGCAGTCAGCCAGCAGAGTCACTAGGATGTTGAGGCCCCCCAGGTCCACAACCTCTTGGCAGAATTCGTTGCGGACAGCCAGGCGGGACAGGGTGCTGCAGAGTTCACTCAGGACGCCGGGGTTGTTGGGGAACGCTGTGGGGAGGCAGGAAGGAGAGACAGGGCTGGGAGGAACCGGGGGAGAGATGGGGGTATGGAGAGGAGCCTGCTGCTTTGGGAGAACTGGGCCCCATCTTGCAAGCTGGCTGCCTATACCCAACAGGCTCAGGGGAGCATTAGCCCCTGGCTGGGCCTGCAGCACTTCCTGCTGGCCACTCCAGGAACAGTGACCCCCACACTGCTCCACCCTTCACCCCATGCTCCAAATATCTTCCAGACCAACTTGAGGCATCCCCTAAAAATAGAAAAGTGGGATGCCACTAAAACAAAACTTTCAACACTACTTTTAGGGCCTCGAGTAGAGATGACTTTCTAAGTGTAACAGAAAGCTGGAGAGTAACAAGGGTACTGCAGACAGCGTAGATGCCCACACAACCCTGACAGGCAAACATTTAGCATCTCTCTGGAGCTCTGTGATGCTCAGTGTGGGAGCCCACCTGGCCAGGTACCTCTACAGTACCTGGGAGGCTGATCTTGGTGGGTTATGGATGTGGTCACTAGGCTTTAAGTAAAAGAGATACAATTCAGTGAAAGCCTTTAAGTGGGAAACGGTTCTCTGGAGAGAAAGAATCAGCCTGGGGCTTCTGGGAGTCTCTAGCCCACCCTGGGACTAGAAAGTCTCCCAAATGTGAGTTATTTCCTTCAAAGAATTACTTAGGAGCTAGGTGAAGCCCGGGGGCAGGGAGAGAGAGAGAAAGAGAAAATTCCCATTCCATCACTCTGGTGGAGCCTAATTCAAGCTATCATAAACAAGAAATGTGCAAACAAATTCTTAGAAAATCTGCCTAGTTTCCCAGATGGCCAGGGCCTATTATTTATTTATTTATTTATTTATTTATTTATTATTTTGGTCTTTTTGAGACAGGGTCTCCCTGTAGCCCCAGCTGGCCTGGAACTCACTATGTAGACCAGGCTGGCCTTGAACTCACAGAGATCTGCCTGCCTCTGCCTCCCAAGTGCTGGGACTCCAGGTGTGTGCCACCACGCCCGGCTTATTATTTTATTTGTAATGACAGGGTCTCACTATGTACCCCTGGCTGGTCTAGAACTTGCTATGTAGACCAGGCTGGCCTTGAACTCAGAGATATGCCTGCCTCTGCCTCCAGAGCACTAGGACTAAAGGCATGTGCCCCCAAGCCTGGCTTCAGAGCTGATTCTTTTCAGCTCCTCTGGAGGTGTGGATGGGAGACTGAGACAGGTCTGTCTCTCAGTCAGAGTGGGAATCCTACACACGAGTCTGGTCATGGACTCAGAGTCACAGAGGACTCATTCTTCTAGCAACTTCTGTGCTCCAAGTATTGGTCATTCTCAAATGGATGCAGAGGACTGGTTGGAGGACAGCAGATGTAAAGTATGAAGATCAACATCATGATCGTCTATGGCTGCTTAGAGTAGCTGCCTATTGCCCAGTACAAGTACTTATAACCAAATACAGACAAGTGGAGGGCTGCTTTGTTTAGTTTCAGGGTGCTGAGAACAAACCCTGAATGCAGGCACTTCACTGCTAAGCCATGCCCCAGCCCCACACCAGGTGATTCTAGGCAGGAGCTCTACCCCTAGGCCACACCCTCATATGCTTACCCCATTCTCACTAGTGTTGCTCCTACCTCTGGCAGCCTCAATGAGCACCTTCAGGCCTCTGTTCTCCTGAACAATCATCTTGGCATGCTCGTGGGCGTGGCCAAAGGGTACTCGAATGTCATCATCGAAGGTCATGACTCGGAGGGCCCAACAGGCCTCCCTGACAACATCAGCGTGCTGGCTGTGCTGGGTGATGGCTGTGGTAAGCAGGGGCAGCACACCAGCCTTCACCAGGAACTGGCGATTCTGCTCATGCTTCAGGCAGGCGTGGCGCACGCAGCGGATTCCACAGCAGGTGAGTTCAGCGTCTGTGGCATTCTGTGATAGTGTGGCTATGAGCAGCTGCAAGCCCTGGGCATCCAGGAGGTCGGGCTGGCCATCAGTCAGCGCTGCCAGGGCACTGAGGGCCTGGAGCAGGAGGCCCTGGTGGCTTGTGGTAGCCAGCTGCCAGGCAGCTAGGAGGATAGGGTAGGCCCCCTTCTGTGCTGCCAAGAAACGGCTGGCCTTCTGGTGCCTGCACTGTTCACAGAAGCGGGCAAGGTGCACCAACACCTCCTGCGGCTGGGAGCCCACCAGGGACTCCTGCAGGTCATCCAGAGCCTGGGGAGGACATATCGTGTCAGTTGTTGGTGACAGGCTTTGCATGCTGGGGATCCTCAACCCAGGATCAGGGCCCAAGATGGAAGTGACATGGAACCAGGTTAATCTGGAAACTTTCATTACCTGTACTGCTGATTTGAGATGGGGCTTTTTTTTAATTTTTATTTTGTGTGTATGAGTGTTTACCTGCATGTATAAGTGTACCATGTGCATATAATGCCCACAAAGGTCAGAAAAGGACACTGGATCCCCTGGAACTGGAGTTACAGATAGTTGTTAGCTGCCATGTGGTGCTGGAAACTGAACCTAGGTCCTCTTCAAGAGCAACCAATGTTCTTAACTGCTGAGCCATCTCTCCAGCCCTGAGTCTTTTGTATTTTAATTATATGTATGTATGTATGTACGTACGTATGTCTGTGCACCTGAGTGCAATGCCCACAGAGGCCAGAAGAGGGTGTTAGCTCCGCTGGAGCTGGAGTTACAGGCTGTTGTGACCAGCTGTTGTGAGCTGCCCTATGTGGGTGCTGGGAACCAAACTTGGGTTCTCTACAAGAACAGCAAGTGCTCTTATCTACTGAGACATCTTTCCAGTCCCAACACAGTCTTAATATACAGCTTAGACTGGTCTTGAACTCATTATGTTGCCCAGTTTGACCTTGAACTCATATGAATCCTCCTGCCTCAAGCTTCCTGAAGGTTGGAATCCCAGGTATGAGCCACTATTAATAACCTTTTTAAAAAATACTAGGGATTAGCCAGGCGTGGTGGTGCTCACTTTTAGTCCCAGCACTTGGGAGGCAGAGGCAGGTGGATCTCTGTGGGTTCAAGGCCAGCTTGATCTACATAGTGAGTTCCAGACCAGCTGGGGCCACAGGGAAACCGTCTCAAAAAGACCAACCCCGCCCCCAAAACTCCTAAGGATTGGGGGGCTAGAGAGATGGCTCAGTAGTTAAGAGCACAGGCTGTTCTTGCAGAAGACCAGGGTTCAAATCCCAGCATGCACATGGCAGCTAACAACCATCCATAACTCCAGTTCCAGGGGATCCAATGCCCTTTTCTTTCCTCCATGGACACTGCATGACACAGGTGCACTTACACACATGAAGGCAATACACTCATACACATAAAATAAAAATAAACAAATAAATAAAATACTAGGGATTAAATGGCATGCACCCTAGGCAGATACTCTATCACTGAGCTATATCCTTAGCCTTCAATTTTTTTCTTTTCCTTTTTAAAAAGCATCTATTTGCCAGGCGTGGTGGTGCACACCTGTAGTCCTAGCACTCAGAAGGCAGAGGCAGGCGGATCTCTGTGAGTTCAAGGCCAGCCTGGTCTACATAGTGAGTTCCAGGACAGCTGGGGCTACAGGGAGACCCTGTCTCAAAAAGACCAAAAAAAAAAAAGGCATCTATTTATGTACCCGTGTGTAAGCATGCACACACATGCACACACACACACACACACACACACACACCATGGCTCATGTGTAGAAGTCAAAGGACAGCTGGCAGGACTGTTTTTTCCTTAAACCATGTGGGTTCTGGGGGTCAAATTCAGGCGGTCAGGCTTCGTGGCCAGTGCCTCTAACTGTTGAGCAATCCTGCCACCCTTCCTCCCTCCCTTCCGTTATATTTTATGTGTATGAGGGTTTTGCCTGCATGCATGTAAGTGTACCACATGTGTGCAATGTCTGTGGAGGCCAGAAGAGGACATCAGATCCCCTGGAACTGAAGTTATAGATGGCTGTTAGTTATTACGTGGGAGCTGGGAACCAAACCCAGGTCCTCTGCAAGAACAGCAAGTGCTCTTAACATCTGAGTCATCTCTCCAGTCCCATATTTTTTCTTTTAAAAAAAATAATGCTGCGGACAGAACCCAGGGCCTGCAGGCTAGGTGTGTGCTTTGAGCCACACACTTCTGACCCATATCTGTAGTTTTAGGAGCCTTGAGTATTAGAGGCCACGCACAGAGAGAGAAGTGCCAGGCACCTCAGTGTCCCTGATAAGCAACTGTACATGTGAGTACAGACATACTAAGAGTCGAACCCTAAGTGCCCCCAAGAAAGTCTCAGGCAAAACCAGCAGAGGAGCTGCCAGCCAAGTCCAGCCAGCCAGTGTCATTACAATCACAGGAATGGCTGCCATGTGGAACTGTTACATAGTGTAGCTGACCCACACAGGGTTTCTGGAAGAAGAAAGTCACTTCAGTCACAACAGACCATCGAGATGTCTCCCTCTCATTCATTCCACAAATATTTCACCCTCCTGCTGAAGGAACACCACACATGGTGGTTTCTCAGGTGCAGCTCCAAGTCATGAGGGGAATGATGAGAGAAAACACCAAAACAGGGCCAGCCAGCATGGATACCAACCAACAGACATGACCTCAGGATATGTCACTGCATGAATACTCACGAGGTCATGCGCACCTATCCTGAAACGGTGGCTCAGGGGAAACCAGCAGCCCAGAGGGATTTGGTTTGATCTCAGCTGCCAAGACAGGCAAAGATACCTGTTAGCCAGACCTGTTCAAGCTGGCCATGAGAACCTGGCTGAACACTTTACGAAAGAACAGAACATTAATAAGTAAGTCAGGGGTTAGGGGAGACACTGAGCTGGCTTAGCAGGTGAAGATGCTTGCTATGCAAGCCTGGCCTGGGTTCAATCCCCAGGACCCAAAGTGGAAGGAGAGAACTTATTCCTAAAAGTTGGCTGTGACATCCACACATGCATCTTAGCACTCACGTGCCTGCGGACACACAGACAGACACACATACACATGTACAGATTTTTTGATAATATTTTATTATTTTTATTCTATGTGTACGAGTGTATTGCCTACATGTATGTGAGTACACCCATGTCATGCAGTGCTGCAGAGGTCAGAAGAAGGCTTTGGGTTCCCCTGGAACTGGAGTTAAGGACAGCTGTTAGCCAACATGTGGGTGTGGGAATCGAACCCGGGTCCTCTGCAAGAGCAGTCAGTGCCCTTAACCGCTGAGCCATCTCTCCAGCCCCCAGATTATTTCTTATAAAAGTCAAAGATGAGGGGCTGGAGAGATAGCTCAGTGGTTAAGAGTACTGGCTGCTCTTGTGGAAGACCCAGGTTTGAGTCTCAGTACCCACATGGCAGCTAACAATTGTCAATTGTCTGTAACTCCAGTTCCAGGGGATCCAATGCCTTTTTGACCTCTGCAGGCATAGAACAACACGGGTGCACTTACATACATGCAGGAAGTACACTCATACACATAAAATTTAAAAATAATTTTTTTGGTTTTTTTTTTTTTTTTTTTTTTTTTGGTCTTTTTGAGACAGGGTCTCCCTGTAGCAGCAGCTGGCCTGGATTCGCTATGGAGACCAGGCTGGCCTCAAACTCACAGAGATCCGCCTGCTTCTGTTTCCTGAGTGCTGGGATTAAAGGTGTGTGCCACTACGCCCGGCTAAAATAAATATTTTTTAAAAAACTTATTAAAAGTCAAGGACAGGAAGATGGCTCCTGGGTCAAGCACTTGCTATGCAAGTTTGGACCCAAGTTTGGATCCCATGTAAAGCTGAGCTAGAGACACTATTCTGTGTACCCTAGGTCCCAGGACTGGGATAGCAGAAGCATTCACACACTTGCATCAGAACATGGCCTCTTCTGGCTCAGCTGTCCCCCAGAAGCTGGGCAGCCCTCACCTGAACCTAGGGGGACATGTGGCCACAGCATTCCACCAGCCACATGGACAGACCACTGACCTTCAGAGCCTCAGTTTTGCCATGTGGGATGTGGGGAAGAGACCCCCAGAAGGTTCCAAGGTGACCAGGGAGCTGCTGTGGGGGGTGCCTGCTCCTACCTGCAGGACATCATGTGTAGACTCCTGGTGGCCATCCTTGGACACTTTTGGTGCTGTCTTTACAATGTTGCTCAGATCAACCCCTGCAGAGGGGAGGATGGGGATGTTAGAAGCAAGTGACAGCTTGTTCTTTGGGAGCCCCTTTTTGGGCCCTGGGCTAGGAGGTTCCTTATACTGGGGGCCCTTTGTCCATGGTTCTTCCCAATCCCCCTAGCCCTCCTTCCTGGGCCAGCCACAGGCAGCAGAACACTAGAGCAGTCATCACCAAGCAAAGCTGCGAAACAGATGCACTCTGGGTGTTGAGGTGGAGGGCTGAGAGGAGGGATCACACAGAGCCTCTCCTTTTGAACTGGCACCACTGTCAGCTCCAGCTGTACTCCAGCCTCTTGAAACCCCAAAGGCAGCCCTTCTGTGGCTGAACTTTTGGGGTTTTCTTTTGTGTATCACCAAGTGGTTTTTTTTCTTCTTCTTTTTTTTTTTTTTTTTAAGACAGGGTGTCCTTGTAGCCCCAGCTGGCCTGGAACGTGCGATGTAGACCAGGATGGTCTCGAACTCACAGAAATCTGCCTGCCTCAGCCTCCAGAGTACTGGGACTAAAGGTGTATACCACTGCATCTGGCTAGGGGGTAACCTAATTTAAAAATTTTTATTTATATGTATGTGCTTGTGTCTTTTTATGAGTATGCACATGTGTGTGCAGCTGCCTGTAGAAGTCAGAAGGTGTCAGCTGGAGTTACAGTTGTGAGTTGCCTGACATGAGTGGTGGGAACTGAACTTTGGTCTTCTGGAAGTGCAGCAGGTGCTCTTAACCACTGAGCTATCTCTCCAGGCCCAGTAGGTTTTTTGTTTGTTTGTTTGTTTGGTCTTTTTGAAACAGGGTCTCCCTGTAGCCCCAGCCGGTCTAGATTCGCTAATGGAGATCAGGCTGGCCTCGAACTCAGAGATCCCCCTGCCTCTGCCTCCCGAGTGCTGGGATTAAAGGCGTGCGCCACCAACTGTTATATAGCTCTGACTGGCCTCAAATTCACAGTAACCCTCCTGCCCCAGCCTCCTAAGTGCTGTGATCATCTCTGTGTGTGCTTGTGCCCACCTGTCATCCCTGGAGGAAGAAAGATTAAGAATTCAAGCCAGCTTTGGTTACATAATGAGTTAGAGGCTAGCCTGGGCTACATGAGGACCCCTGGTCTCAAAAACAAACAAACAAACAAGGGCAGGCATCACAGGCACGTGTTAACCTGCTGGGCTTTGTTGGACACTGTGTGTGTACCTGTAGGACAGTGCTCGTGGAGGCCAGAGAGCAACCTCAGGTTATCATCCTCAGGAGTCATCGCCTTGTTTTTGAGACAGGGTGTCTCACTAGGACATGAGCCTCACTGATTAGGCTAGGCTAAATTGGCTAGCCATCAAGCCTGAGAGCCTTCTGTCTCTATCTCCCCAGCACTGGGATTACAAACACACATTATCATGCTTGGATTTTTTACATGGGTTCTAGGGCTCAAACCCAGGTCCTCATGCTTGCATAGCAAGCATTTTACTGAGTCATCTCCCCAGCCCTGTTCCCCAGTGGTTACTTCTGATTGATGCACTAGAGAACCCCATCTGTGTGCACTGGGGGCCGACCTCTGACCCCTGGGACCTTCTCTCTCCTGCCCTCTGGTTCATACTGCACTGGTCCAATGTGGAGCTAGACTGAGACTTGGGACAGGAGGGAATGGGCTGTGCTCATACCCAGCACCCTGCCACCACTGAAGTCACCCTCATCTCAAGATTTTGCTCTATACCATGTGGTTTGGGACCTCAAAGTCCTGCCAGCATCCCTACCAGCACCCCAATACCGCAACACTTGCTCTCCACCATGACTAACTTTGGGCCTATGCCAAGTGATTCTGTGCTTGGTGACTGCTGTCACTTTTTTACACTGAGGTGAAGTTGGAGTATCGATGGCTCAAGGAGGCAGGCAGTGAGGACAAGGTTGGCAGCACCCCACTGCCACACCAGGCTGGAGGGGCCATGGCCTCATGTTGTTCCTGCACCCAAGGGCTAGACCTTACCTTGTGATTCAAACTGCTCCACAGCCTCTCGAACTGCCTCCTCTGCGCCCATCTCAAACTCCTCAATATTCTCCCGCACTGCAGCATCAAAGGTGTCCTGGGTGATGCGCTTGGAAGCCATTGCTGCCTGCTGAGTGGAAGGGGGCTCTCAGTCGGGGGACAACAGGCAACTGGGAATCCTGGTCACTCTAGTGGCCATCAAACCTGATAACCTGTTTGATCCCTGGAGCCCATGTGATGGAAGAAGAGACCAGACTCTCAAAGGTTGTTCTCTGACCACCACATGCACTCCATGGCATGTATGCTCACACACATAAGAAAAAACATATTCTTCTCCGTTAGTTCTAGAATTATGCATCAGCCAAGCATAGTGGCCCACACCTGTCATCTCAACATGAGAAGGGCAGAGACAGGAGGATCAGGAGTTCAAGGCCAGCCCAGGTGACATGAGATCCTGTCTCAGCAAGTAAACCTACTTGCAAGCTAAGCCTGAAGACTTGAGTTCCATGCCCAAAAACCACAAGTGGAAGGAGAGAAATGACTCCTGCAAGTTAGTCTCTGACCACACATCTGCCATGGTGTGAATGAGACACACACACACACACACACACACACACAATCAATCAATCAAATGCATCAAAGAAGTTAGAAACAAAACATCAGCTGGGCATGGTGACACACGCCTGTAGTCCCAGCACTTGGGAGGCAGAGGCAGGCGGATCTCTGTGAGTTCAAGACCAGCCTGGTCTACATAGTGAGTTCCAGGACAGACGGGGCTACAGGGAGCCCCTTCTTAAAAAAAAAAAAAAAAAAAAAAAAAAAAAAATCATTCAATCAATCAACCAAATGTATAAAAATAAGTTAAAAACAAACAAACAAAAAATTCTAGTTTTCTGGGCCTGATAGTGCAGATCTGTGAAGTGCAGATAGTACAGCTCTGAGAAGGCTGAGGTTGGAGACTCTTGAGTTCCAGGCCAGTCTGGGCTACAGAGATCCTGTTTAGAAGGAAAAGGGGGACAGAGGGCTGAAGAAATTGCTCAATAGTTAAAAGTACTTGCTGATCTATGGTGAGGACTGGAGTTCAGTTTTCAGCATCCACATCAGGCAGCTAGCTCACAAACACCTGTAACTCCAGCTCCAAGAGATCTGACACCCTCTTCTGGCCTCCATGCATACATCATGCACCCACACACAGACACACACATTTACAAACAATTTATAAATAATAAAAATTGGGGGCTAGAGAGAAAACTCAGTGGTTAAGAGCACTGGCTGTTCTTGCAGAGGACCCAGGTTCAAATCCCAGCACCCAGCAGTTAACAACCATTCGTAACTTCAGTTTCAGGGGATCTGACACCCCCTTCGGACCTCCACAGGCACTGCATGACGTGAGTGCACTTACACACATGCAGGCAATACACCCATATACATGTAATAAAAATAATACATAAATTAGACATCCCAGATCTGCACTGGAGGTACAGCTCAGCTGTACAGTGTTTTACTGCGCAGAACCTTATTCAAAAGTCTCATTAAAGCAGCCCTTTTCTCCTATCCAATTACTTCTTTGTTTTGTTTCTTTTTGGTTTTATATGAGACAAGGGCGATCTTATGAGACAACGGTGATCTCAAGTAGATCAGACAGGCCTTTAACTCCCAATCCGCCTGTCTCCACCTCCCGAGTGCAAGTCAACCACCCTCCCACTTCTTTATTTTTTTAAAGACAGGGTCTGACCGTATAGCCCAGTCTCCTATCCAATTACTTCTTTGTTTTGTTTCTTTTTGGTTTTATATGAGACAAGGGCGATCTTATGAGACAACGGTGATCTCAAGTAGATCAGACAGGCCTTTAACTCCCAATCCGCCTGTCTCCACCTCCCGAGTGCAAGTCAACCACCCTCCCACTTCTTTATTTTTTTAAAGACAGGGTCTGACCGTATAGCCCAGGCTGGCTTGGAACTCGCAGCAATTCTCCTGCCTCCGCCTCCCGAGCACTGGGATGACAACACTCACCACACCCGCTCTACCTCCATTGACTGCACAAGATCTAAATCCCAAGGGCGACGCGATGCGCTGACATTTCTGGCAGCGTCCAGACCCCTTGCCCCACTGGCTAGAACGCAGCCCGACGCGCACGCAGCAGGGCTCAACACACGGCTGCAGAACGCAAGAATAAAATGAATGAAAAGAGCGTGCAGGCCCAGAAGCGGTTTCTGTACAACTCTCTCCTCCCCCCAAACCAAGTCCCCGAGGGTCCCGCGGCCGCCACTAGCCCGACCCCGTGAGGCCCACTTCCCACTGCGTCCGCAGCGGGTCCCGGCAGCCGTCGCTCCTCACCGGGTTTCCGCAGGCACGTGGGGAAAGGGTGGGGCTCGAGGCTGTCACCGCAGCTCTCCTTTGGCTCCTTCTGGCCACCGTACGCGCGCAGGCGCAATGGCGCGGCTTCCCTTCTGCGTCCCTCAGCCGGGCAGCTTCCTCCCGGGGTAATCAAGGGCGACTTCGAGGACAGGTAAAGTGAAGAGAGCCAGCCCCTGAGTGTGTGTGAGCCAGGCGTCTCAGCCGCCTTTTCTGCACTGCTCCCCGTCGTCGCTTCCCCTCAGAAGGGATAGTTTTCTCCTAAGCAGAGTTCGTCCTGAGAAGCGAGTAACACGCCTGCGCAAGAGAGCTAAGATGGCGGCATTTGGCGCCTGCGCGTAAGGACCTAGGCGGCGGCGGTGAGCGTTCGCTGACCCACGCGAGGCGGCAGTTTGCGCCTGCGCGGCGCGGCGCTGCGGCGACCGTTGCCTCTTTTGCATATCCCCGCCTCAGAAGGCGGTGGGTGAGGCTCCTGAAGGGGAGGTGGCGGCGGTGGCGGCGGCGGCGGCGGCAGCAGCAGCAGCGGCGGCGGGGGCGGCACCGCGCGGCTGGCAGGGTGAGGCCCAGGTCCTGGCGTCCAAGGAGCTCGGGCCTCCGGGTGATGGGTCTCAGGGCGGCCGACGGCTCAGCACGTGCGTGTTCCTCCCTGCGGGCCGCGAGCTGGCGGGTCCATTCATTCCTCTTGAGCCTGCTGCCGGGGCTCGCGGGGCGTAACGGTGTGCGGGCTTTGCCTCGGGCCTTCCACCTGCCGGGGACCTCTGCAGCTCCGGTAGATGGCCATCCCATAGATGGGGAAACGGAGGCACAGACAGGTTAGGTCTTGATTTGAACCCAGGACCGCCTGACCCGGAGACTTCTTCCCTTGTCTTGCAGAGGACAAGGGGTGCCTTGGTAAAATGACCAAGGCTGGGAAAACGGGGTGTTGGCAGGTTTGCCGCTTGCAGTTGGAAGTGTCATGAGGCAGGGTGTCATTGATGCAAAATGCTGCTTAATTTTTCCTTTATACTTTGTCTCCTAGTGTGTCCTCTTGGTCAGGTTCAGTTCCAGAATGCCTGACTTTGGGTGGTTTCCTTAGTCTGAGTCTGCTTTTCCTCTTCTCTGTGTCATGTCTTTTTTTAAAGACAGGTTCTCAAACTGGGAGTGGTGGCCCACATCAGTAATCCCAGTGCTGGGGAGGCAGAGGCAGGAAGATTTCCCCAAGTTTGATGCCAACCTGGAATACGTATGTTTAAGCTCAGCCAGGGTTATGTAGTGAGACCTTGTCTTGAAAGCCCCCCTCCCCACCAAAAAAAAGGATCTCCAGAACCTGGTGCAGTAGCCCACACCTGTAATCCCAGTACGCGGGTGGCAGGGGCTGCAGGGGCAGGAAGATCAGGAGTTCAAGGCTAGTCTGGGCTACTTGAGACCCAGTTGCAAAAAATAACCACATGTACACCTGCAAAACAGGGTCTTGCTGTGTAGCACAGGCAGGCTTTGCACTTGCATTCCTCTTGCTCAGCCACCTGAATAGCTGGAATTACAGACATGCTCCACCAGGCTCCAGCTACTCTAGTGTGTATGTGTAATGCGTCTGTGTAGGCTAAACATGTGGTGTCTTCCTCTTTGCTTCTCCACTTTATTGTTTGAGGCAGGGTCTCTTGCTGAGCCTGAGCTCAGTGATTGACTAGTCTGTCTGGCTAGCAAGCTCCAAGGATCCTCCTGTCTCCACCTTCCCAGTGCTGCAATTACAGGCGCATGTGTCCCTGTGCCCAACCTTTATTTTTTATTTTTTAATGTGTTTGAGGGTGTATGACACAATGCATGTGTGGAGGTCAGAGAAAAATTTTGGGGAGTCTGTTCTCTCCTTCTACCATGTGGGCTCTGAGAATTGAGCTTGGGTCACCAAGCTTGGCCCTTTTACCCACTGGGCCATCTCAGTCCCTATTTTCTTTCTTTTTTTTTTTTTTTAACAAGATTTGAAAATATCTGTATTAAAAATTTTAGGGAAAATATAGTCAAGAAAAAAATCACTGGAA